TCCACAGAAATATGTGAAAAAAATCGATTTAGGCAATATACCCCATTTTTGTTCCACATTTTAAATTTTTTTATTTTTTTATAAATTCATAGTTGTAAATATCAGAGACCCCATTTCTATCAGTTGGCACTGGGATCAGCAGTGCTACTAATAAGAGACTTATTTTGGACTCTGAAATGTTGATGAGAAAGTTTCTATTGATTGTAAAATGGTTGGTAACATGGACTGGTGTATATAAGACACAGGATAGTGGGAGGAAGCATCAGCCGTTTGACAAAGCCCTGTGGGTGGGGCGAAATGCATTACGGACCCAGAACCAGGAAGTGATTTGGAGACAGTCGGCAACAGCAACCAGGATAGCAGCCGGAAGATTTTTTTACATTACATAAGTATATGGAACTTTCTTTGTGGTTTCCTGAGGCTGGTGAGCGGACTAACTAACTCCACAACAAGTTTTGCTGTTTTTTAATTGTTATTAATAAAGTATACTTACCTGAGATCCGGATTGCAAGCTTCCTTTCCACGGATCCCACGCACTCTAGGGGCTGATCCTCCCTGAGTGCTATAGCAACGAGTGGTGCTTTCACCACAACAATCTTGTGAGTGTAACACCTAAAAGGGCACCTCTGTTTGCTTTATTTTATATATTTATAAGTGAATTACTACGCTGCACTAGGAGCTCTCTTTCTGTTATGGTCTCCTTAATAGGTGTCAGAGTGATTTCCATGTTTGCAAGTATACCTACAGATTGTGCTTTGTTTTACCACAACCACTGTTTGGTTTTAAATTATTTATAATATTTCCACTCTGTAAACAACTCATTTTATGTACACAGGGTTACTTTCACTCTCTATAAGAGGTCCATAGCGAATACAATTTTTTTTTTGTTATCCACTAAACAGCAACTTCAATGTTGACAGATTTTCTTAGTTCTTTTTGTTTGTTTTTTAAAAACACCTAATCTAGGCAAAAATAATGGGGGTTTAATTACATTATATGATCATACATTGCATAAGCCTGCCACAACATCAATGTACCCCATCTTTGGCAGGTCCTACTCTAACAGCCTAATGTATGATCATATAATGTAACTAAACCCCCATTATTTTTGCATAGATTCTTTCGGATTTTTAAGTGCCAAGATTATATCATTGGCAAATAAGCCAATTTTGTGAGTAGATCCCTTAATGTTTATTCCTTCAATTTCTGGGGTCATTCTAAACAATTCAGCCAAGGGTTTCTTAGTTAATACCAATAATATTGGAGATAAAGGGCAACCCTGTCTCGTCCCATTAGTGAGAGAAAAAGTTTGGGATTTAAAACCAGTATAGCTCCTTTGTTGCATTAACAAATGGATAATGGGATATTAAATCTGCTTAATGTTCTCTGCATCCAATGAAAGAAGCAAAGAAGGCATTTTGGTCAAATGAATGTGCTGAATCAACTTAATAAATCTCCTAGTTCTATCAAGTGCCTGTCTACCCTGTACAAAACCCACTTGATCACTATTTATTAATAAGGGATTAATTTAGCTAATCTGTTTGCTAGAGCTTTAGAGTAAATTTTCAAGTCGTTATTTATCAGAGAAATGGGCCTAAAACTAGGACACCCATCAGGAGTTTTTCCTGTCTTTGGTAAGGTGACTGTTTGTGCGCACAAGGACTCCTCAGGCATCTTCCCCCCGGACTTATAGGAGTTGAACAATTTTGTCATATGGGGAATTAAGATTTCTGAAAAGTTTATTAAATATGAAAGTGAATCCATCAGCACTAGGGGCCTTTAGATGGCATAAGTTTGATTGCCTCAGCTATCTCTTCAGCTGATATATCACACTCTAAGCTTTTTGAATTATCTGGAGACAACTGAGGCAATGTCACTTTATCTAAAAATGTATTAATTGTCACTTCAGAAGGTTGGGAAAGTTCTTAATCTAATTTTAGATTATAAAGTTTTCTGTAATAGTCTGCGAATAGATCACTAATTTTGGTTGAAATATTATTTGTCCTTGGTCGCTTAATAAATATGCTATTCTTGACTGGGCATTCACATGCCGGAGTTTAGACACCAGGAGAGTTGAGGCCCTGTTGCCTTTTAAATAAAATGTTTTCTTAAGGTGTCTCACCATGAGAGAAGTGCGGTCTATATTAGTTTTCTGTATTTTTTACTTGATCTCTCCTATCATTGCTTATAGGGAAGTCGATGGGCTAAATTTGTTAGCCTGATTCAGATTATATAGCTCTTTTTCCATTGTTCTAAGATTGTTATTATTCTCTTCAGATGAGACGTTCTAGAAATAAAGTGACCTCGCAACACAGCCTTGTACGCATTCCAAGACACTTTGCCAGGAACCTCAGATGAAGTATTGTCTAGAAAATAACCACTCAAAACTTTCTCTGCCAATTACCTATTTTCAGCATCATTTAACAAGTAGTCATCTAATTTCCATCTTATATTTGGGGCTGTTGATATACTTGCAACTATATGCATGAGGATTGGAGCATGATTGGACCAATTAATATCTAAAATCTCAGATTTCAGGATATGTGGGATTAAAGCACTCCAAATCATAAACCTATCCAGTCTGGAGTACATAATTTTTAGATTCAGAATAATATGTAAAATCTCTTCCATCCTCATGCAGCAGTCTCCAAGGATCATACAAACTACATTCAATCATGTATTTTGAGCATTTATCCGCTAATCTGTTGCTATCTCTTCTATGGGACTGGTCAGGATCTTCCCTAGCATTATCCAATTCTCCATCCATAACAAAATTCGTATCACCACATATTACCAAAATACCTCTCAGATTTTCATTCACCAGATCCATAATTTCCCTAAAAAAACTTAAAGGACCACTCTAGGCACCCAGAGTGAAGTGGTCTGGGTGCCTGGTCCAGCTAGGGTTAACCCATTTTTTAATAAACATAGCAATTTCAGAGAAACTGCTATGTTTATTAATGGGTTAAGCCTTCCCCCTAATCCTCTAGTGGCTGTCTCATTGACAGCCACTAGAGGCCCTTGCGTGCTTCTCACTGTGATTTTCACAGTGAGAGCACGCCAGCGTCCATAGGAAATCATTGTAAATGCTTTCCTATGCGACCGGCTGAATGCGCGCGCAGCTCTTGCCGCACGTGCGCATTCAGATGACGGTGCGGAGAATAGGAGGATCGGAGGAGGAGAGCTCTCTGCCCAGCGCTGGAAAAAGTTTTTACCCCTTTCCCCCTTCCAGAGCCGGGCGGGAGGGGGACCCTGAGGGTGGAGGCACCCTCAGGGCACTATCGTGCCAGGAAAATGAGTATGTTTTCCTGGCACCCTAGTGGTCCTTTAATTGACCTGCATTAGGGAAATACATGCTCACAATTGTATACTCAACATTATTGATTTTACCTGTCCACAATAAGTACCTCCCTTCATTGTCTGTTAGTACCTTGTCCGTTAAACAAGCCACATTCCTGTTGAAGCACCTCTAGACTTAGATTTGTAAGTACACCACAAAGGATTCTGGGTGGGCATATGCAAATTAGTACCCCAATATTTGTTTTTTTTATGATATATGTGTGTTTGTTTGCTTGGTTTGCGATGGAACTGAAATTTTTGTACTGTGGGCTCTGGTCGGGGGTCTTGATGATTTGGAGAAGGAAATAGTTAGAAACTATGGTTAGATTTGCTACGATAAATACCCAGGGTCTTAATTCCCCATTTAAAAGATCAATTTTAGTAGAGTATCTGAAGAAACAGAAAATTGATGTTTGTGGTTTCCAGGAGACGCACTTGAGGAAGAAGGATAATGTAAACTTAAGATCCAAAATCTATACGACGGTCCTTTCTGTGTCTCTAGAACACAATAAAAAATTAGGGGTTGCTATACTGATATCTAGAAATTTAAATTTCAGAAGTATCTATACAGAACAAGATACCGAGGGGAGATTTATTATAGTAGTCTGTGAAATTGATAGCATTATATATACAATAGTCAATTTATATGCACCCAGGGGCGTACCTAGAGCATTTGGCACCCGGGGCGGATCCTGTGCTTGGCACCCCCCCCCCCACCCAAAAAAAAAAAAAAAAAACCTGTAAAAAATGTTAAAGGTTTTCTTTCTTTTTTTTTACAATTTGTAAACTTTGCAAAACCACTGTCAGCCCCTCCTACAAAACCCTTGTCCTGCCCCGCCCCTCCTACAAAACCTCTGTCCTGCCCCTTCTACAAATCCTGTACTGCCCAGTCTACAAAACCCCCGCAACCCCCTTCCACAAATCCCCTGCTTATCCCCCTTATAAAGACTCCTGTCCCAATACAAAACCCCCGCCCCCTTCTACAAAATCCCTGCAGCCCCACACACACATTTACAGGCAGACAGTCACGCACTCAGTTACAGACAGACAGTCACACACTCAGTTACAGGCAGTCACACACAGTCACAGGCAGACAGTCACACATACACATTTCCTCCGTGCGGCCAGTTTATCAGCTGTTTGCTTGTGTGAGTTGTACTGGCCGCACGGCACCCTAACTACCATGGGACACTGTGCGGCCACAGCTCACACAGCCCCCTCCAGCCAGGGCCGGTGCAAGGATTTTTTACTTGCGCCCTAGGCAAAGTAAAGTTGCCCCCATGTGACATCACAATGCCCCACCCATATGATTTGCCATGTTAACTGCGCCAGTGCTGCAGTGCCGCCCGTGTTTACATTAAAAGGCCTGCAGGGACCGAACAGACACCAGAACCACTACATTAAGCTGAAGTGGTTCTGGGGACTCTAATCGATTTCTTTAATGTGAGGTAAATTAGAGCTTAGTGCCTGCACAAATAATATACTAGATTGCCTGCCCACAGCGGGTGGGGATGATTATGGGCTCTAGCTGCAGTCACAATCCACTGGTCTGGTGCAGAACAGGCTCTCTGGAGGCGGTTTAACTTTAATGGTCACAAAATCAATGTTCTGGGAGAGCGAGGAAGCAGCTCCATTTTTTGGGGGTCCTTTACACAGCTCAAGGTCTGGGTCCCAGGGTCCACCTTCATGTTCCACCAATGAGTTTGTTCACAGGGGGTGGAGTGTGTAGGGGATGTCCTGATATGTGTGTAAGGAATACATTGTGTGAAATTGTGTTTGTATGTGTAAGGGCTGCAAGGTGTGTTTCTGTGTATGTATGGGATGCATTGAATGTGTGTAAGGGGTGCATTAAGTGTGTGTAATGAATGCATTGTGTGTTTCTGTGTGTGTAAGGGATGCATTGTGTGTATGTGATGAATGTCAATCTCTCCTCCCACTCCAATTTCCTTCTCCTCCTCCCAATTTCTCTTTCTCACCCCCTCCTAATTTCTCTCCCCCCCAATTTCTCTTTCCCCCCTCCTAATATCTCTTCCCCCCTCCTAATTTCAATTTCTCTCCCCCCCTCCTAATTTCTCTTTCCCCCCTCCTAATATCTCTCCCCCCCTCCTAATTTCAATTTCTCTCCCCCCTCCTAATTTCAGTTTCTCTCCCCCTCCTAATTTCTCTTTCTCACCCCCCCCCCCCTCCTAATTTCTCTCCCCCCTAATTTAGCACCCCCCTCCTAATATCTCTCCCCCCTCCCTAGTTTCTCCTCTCCACTTGCTTCTCTTTCTCACCCCACCTTTCTCTTTCTCACCCCCTCCTTTCTCTCCCCCACCCCCTTTTCTCTTTCTCACCCCCCTCCACTTTCTCTTCCCACCCCCCCCTTTCTCTCCCCCCTCCTTTCTCTCCCCTGCTTTCTCCTCTTTCTCACTACTCCTCTTTCTCTCCCCCCTTTCTCCTCTTTCTCACCCCCCCTCCTTTCTCCCTCTTTCTCACCCCTTCTCCTCTTTCTCACCCACACTTCTCCTCTTTCTCACCCCCCTCAGCGCCTCCTCTTTCTCACCCCCCCCCCTCCTTTCTCCTCTTTCTCACCCCCTTTTCTCCTCTTTCTCACCCTTCTCACCTCGCTGCCTTATCTTTCTCACCCCCCTTCTCACCCCCCTTTTCTCCTCTTCTGCACCCCCCCTCCTTTTCACCCCCCCTCCTTTCTCCTCTTTCTCACCCCCCCTCCCTTTGCTGTAGCGTGGCCGAGCCCTGTATAGTCCGCGGGTACAGGGAGCATCTGTTTCCTGTACCCGGCCGGACTAACAGGAAGTGCACACTCAGTGAGAGAAATTGAACCGTTGTCCTGCCCTGCTTATATACCAGGAGAGCGCTAATTGGAGGGAAGGCATTATGGACTGTGGGGAGCAATCGCTCCATAAAAGCATGGGGGAGCCCCCCCTGGGAGCTCCTGAAAGTTGACCAGCCAAAACCCCTGTTTCTCAAAGAACTAATTTGGGCATCATCCATGTGGGCAGCTGGTCAGAACTTTACCTCAATGGCGATTCCCCTACACTGTATGGATCTAAAGCGCTATTTGGACAACTTAGGTTGGGCACCGCCTAAGTTGTGTTGGCCTGCCTCCGTGTCCTTTCTGGCCGCCAGAAGGCATCAAAGACAGGTAAAATTCTTGCCCGGTGTCTCTTTATAAGAACCTGTTGATTGTATATCTGCCTCCTGAGTGTGAAAGTGTTTGCTTGGTGATTTAAGATGGGTTAATTACATAGTAATGCTATATATTATTAGCTTGACTGCCTAGCTGGCAGGGACCGCAGTTTTGCTTTACTGTTCAGAGAGGAACAAGGACCGCTACCGCCTAAGAGAGGCTGGGATTTGTTTTATTGTTCAGAGAGAAACAGCAACCGCTACCGCCTAAGAGAGGCTGGGATTTGCTTTACTGTTCAGAGAGAAAAAGGGACCGCTACCGCCTAAGAGAGGCTGGGATTTGCTTTACTGTTGAGAAAGGAAGAGGGATTGCTGGTTTTATTATTGTTATGATTGATACATTGTAATTCTTTATTGCATTGTGGTGGTTGCTTAGTTGGGGTTGCATTTTGTGTGACTTGATTGCATCTGTGTGTGTTGTGTGGTTTATCCTTGATTCAAGACTATGTGCACGTATTTTTATTTGTGATTCTTGCAAGTGTCTTCTTATTAGCATTTCTCCTTTCACTTTCTCTCTCTTCCTCTTCCTCTACTGTACCTTTAATCCAGACCAGTGTTAGTCACACACTACTCGTCTCGCTCCAATCTGTGTCCACCACTCCGGGTGGGTAGATTCCGTGACTAGGGATTGGGTATACGTTTTGGGAAGACGCACGTAGATTTATTTCTCGTGGCAGTCGAGCACTGTAGATTTTCTTTTTCCTGTTTCTATCTCTCTATCTCTCTCAAGTGACAACTTGTGTATTGAGAATGGGACAGGAGCATGCTAGGCCATCTAAGAGCCATTTGGCTTGTGATATTGTGAGAGAAAGGGCAGATGAAGAGGCTCTGCTTAAGGTGAGGAAGATCGCTAGGATCTGTGGTATTTCTATGTCTCCCAGCGGCCAGTTACAACCAGAGAGCTGGAGAAAATTGTTGATAGATAAAGAGGGATTCTTGCTTGATAATGGATTGACTAAGGCAGCAGAATTAAACGTGTTGCAAAAGGAATTAAACGTGAAGGATGGTCAGAGGAAGAGCTAGAATTTGAAGAATAATAAGTTTATGTGTATCATGAAAAGGTTTGCACTGTTGATTCTCGATGTTTCCTGGCCATCGCTCTATGATGGCGTCCAGCACAAAGAGAAAGGGGATAACCCAACCCCCATAGCTGCTGTCCGGTCACTAGCTCCAACTGACACCGCCCCTCCAGCCCCCACCCCCCTGTACCCCGTCCTTGGAGCGGATGGGTCTTCTGATTACCCTGCCCGTCATGTTCTCCATTCCCTCTCCTATTCCACCTTCTCACTCCATCATTCCTTCCATTCCCACCCCATCCCACTTTCTGCCTCCATCATTCCTTCCATTCCCACCCCCGTCCCACCTTTTCCCTCCATGATTCATTCCGTTCCCACCCCCATCCCACCTTCTGCCTCCGTCATTCCTTCTGTTCCACCCCCGTCCCACCTTCTCTCTCCATCATTCCTTCCATTCCCACCCTGTCCCACCTTCCCCCTCCGTCATTCTTTCCATTCCCACCTTCTCCTTCTGTCATTCCTTCCGTTCCCGCCCCCGTCCCAACTCCTCCCTTCGTCATTCCTTCCGTTCAACCTCTGACTCACCTTTTCTTCCTATCATGCCTTCCGTTCCCGCCCCAGACCTATCCCACCTTCCTGCCTCTGTTGTGTCATCTCTTATTCCTGCCCCTCCCACCCACATTCCATTCCTCCTTCTGTTCCGGCCCCTGTCATGGTTGTCACTTCGCCTCCCAGCATCCTTCCTGCCGTCTCCTCTCCCTTCCCCACAACTGGTTCCATCCCCGCCTCTAGTGCCAAATTGTCGTGGATCAAATCAAGTGTTTGATAATTTTGTATATCTCCCCTGTCCAAATTGTTAAATTAAATTGTGTGCACGCTCCCAAAAGTAATTCACACCGGACACAAGTTATCCTTTTATGACTGTTGGTTCAAATGATTCCGTAGCACTAGGCCATCATCTCACTGTTTCCCCTGCAGCCTCAGGTCACCACCCCACTACGTCACAACTAGTTTAATTTCAAGTGGCTAATGCAAACACTCCTCCTGATGCCGGCGCTGTAGCAGCACAAGCCCCTTTCTTATTTGATATGGTTAGCTTACACAGACAACCCCCTGATAATGGCAGTGCTCTACCATGACCCACTGCCAGCCACCACAGTGCCTTACCTGCTGTGGATGGAGCCCCTTTGATGTATGTTACCTTTAAGCCATCCTAAGCTGCAACTCTGGTAACTTCTCTCCCAGACCCAGAGAAACAGCCCATGCCCTTCTTTCGAAGGATTGCCCAGATCCGTAAAACATACTCAGCTGCCTGGCGTGATTTGTTTAGTCTTTCTGAAATCAAAGCTGGGGATGCCTACTAGCCCATTATGGAAAGGAGCTTTGACGATGCCCGTCTCATTACTGACACCGATTTTTGGCTTGGTGAATGGTGTCGGGAGCAAGGATTTGGCTTTATTTCTCATGGTAGCTCTGTTTGGAATGGAGATAAGCTGTACAAAAAAGATGGTTTGCATCTTTCTCAAAAGGGAACAAATGTTCTCAGTGAGCAGTTCAGAGGTTTTGCTAGGATGTATTTAAATTAGGAGGGGGGGGCAAAAGGGTGATAAAACATCAATCCAATTGTCCCCCAAAAGAAGGACAGAAGGTGCCTGTAGCAAGTGTGTTAAAATATGATAAGCTTAGAGTCATGTCTACAAATGCTCGCAGTTTAGGGAATAAGATCCATGAACTTGTGGCAATAATGGCAACTGATAGTGTAGATTTAGTCGCTGTTACTGAGACATGGTACAATGAGAAAAATGACTGGGACATAGCAATACCAGGGTACTCTTTATATAGGAAAGATAGGGAAGGCAAGAAAGGGGGAGGGGTAGCCTTGTATGTGAAGGATAGCATAAAATCTAGCCTAATAAAAGTTAGTGAGGCAAACATAGAGTCCGTTTGGGCTACGTTAGAATTTGGTAATCACACAGTAACTCGTGTAGGTATGATTTATAGGCCCCCAGGACAAATTGAAGAGTTAGATAATCTACTAGTTGAGGAAATAGCTAAAATGACAATGAAGGGGGAAGTTATCATCATGGGTGACTTTAATCTTCCTGATGTAAATTGGAAAACAAAATTAGCTACTTGTGCCAGGAGCACACATATTCTAAACTCCCTACTGGGATTGTCTCTAAAACAAGCTGTTGAGGAGCCAACTCGTAAAGAGGCCATACTAGATTTAGTGTTAACAAATGGAGATTTGGTATCAGATATTACTGTAGGTGAAAGCTTAGGATCCAGTGATCATCAGTCAGTGTGGTTTAATATAAGAACAGTGACTGAGTCACACCACACAAAAACAAAAGCTTTAGACTTTAGAAAAGCAGACTTTTCTAATTAGAATATGGGTAGAGGAATCATTATCAGACTGGAGCAATTTAAATGGAGTCCAAGAGAAATGGGATTATTTAAAAGTTGCACTATTGAAGGCAACAGGAAATTGCATTAGGCTTGTCAGTAAAAGCAAAAAA